CTGTCCGCTTCCACCTTTTTATGCATACATTTCCGCACCAACAAACAAAGCTGAACTGCTGCTTTCTTGTTTAATCGGTTATTGTTGTCAATCGGCTATTCTTATCAATTAAGCTGTGTTCCGCTGTGGTCACAAGCTGCGTCTAGTGTATTTAATGTTTGTATTACCGTGTCGAAGCTCTGCACGAATCATTAGTGTTCCAGGGTCCCGTTCAACTCATGTGAAATGTGCGCTATGAACTTAGTCCCTTCTGGAAAGCAAAGTCCCTCTAATGGCCCAGTTGCAGCCGTCTACATGGAATGCTTACACTGCAGTATAAGTACGTGGTAAGAATTCTGGTAAGGGTAGAAGCCTTGGATCGCAAACAGTGGTCATATGACAACAGATATCTTTTCCACAACTCTAAATCCTCTGCACTTAACGAGTAAAGTAGGTCATAGCTTCCAGAAGCCTTTATGCCAAGCTTCATAAGAGGGATTGAATCTCTTCCAGTAGCGACAAGGTATGTGGGATTCTTTTATTGTCATAGGTCATGCAACTCGACGGCTGAGAAGTACTTGTAAATGTACGTACGTGCCTGTTCACAAGGCACATAGTCTGTATATCTAGCCTGAACGTATTTCTGTAAGTATATTCAACGTAAGTAACGCAAACCACGAATAAACATTTGAAATACCTGCAAATATATTCTAGGTGAGCTTTGTTATGTCATTATTGTGATATATGTGAGGAAGAGGAATTTCTGCTCGCGGAATGGAATTCTGAAACATTTTATATGGAGAAACAAAGCAAGGTTATTAGAATTTTCGAAATAATACCGTATATACGAAGAATTTATATTATAACTAATAAATTAAATTTCGGGTTCTCACGACTGTGCACAGTCCCCTCGGATGTGACCCCGTACCAAAGTATATGACGTCACACAGCGGAAGAATGCAGTCTTAAATGAGGAAGTACATTGAAGGTCACTAGAGTAATTCGGTTAAACAAAAGGGAAATTTTAGCACTAAAATAATTATATTTACTCATAATAAGTTATACTTTACTTATTTATTCATAAACTTATACCAAGAATCACCTGATAATTATCTACGCCATTACACAGTGTCCTGTGTACTTAAAATGGATAGTAAGTTAACATAATGGCTTTGAAGTGGGAGATCATTTAATTTGGTTAAGGTTTAGTAATCCATCCCTTTTCTTTCTATAGAAATGTAGTACTTTATTGAGTCCTAATTAAAGTAAACAAAGCAAAAAAAAACTGTGGTTTTAGTCCGCAAGCGAACTATACCGACCGAGCTACCGCCGCTTGTCGGCGTAGTGCCAAATTTAGCGGATAGAGGCTGTCACGTGGTCAGCGCAAAGGATCCCCACGACCGTTAATCTCGGTTTTCTATACCGGAGCCGCTGTTTCCTTGAAATAGCTCCACAATTATCCTCACGAGGCTGAGTGAACCCCGTTCCAGACCCACTAATTCTCAGAAAATCTGGCAGCGCCGGGAATCAAACCCGGGCACACTGAATCTGTAGCCAGAAACTCTGACCAATAAAACAGAGAGGCAGTCCTTTCACACGTTAAACACTCTACAATTCTTCATATGTTTTGCGAATGTATAACGAGGACATATATAATGTCAGACCTGTCTATTTTACCCGGTAGGCCACCTAATTAAAGTAAGATAGTGCTTAATTACCCTCGAATCTATACGGAGGTCAGTGGTCGGGTTTACACCCCGGCCGCTTTATCCCCAGTGAACTGGAGGTTAAATGGGCCCAAAGTCGCGGAGACAACAGAAACTCTTTGTTCCTCTCGGGAGTCGAACTCCTATTCCACACTGTTCCAGCCTGTACGTCAGCCTCTACTGCTCCATTTGCACTGTACTTTACTGGTAACTGTTCTTCAATTTCATTTACAGGCATTTACTGCACTTTGACTTGTTCCCAAGCCCTGTGTTAGTTACGCGAGGAATCGATCAATCAATCCACCCACCGAATCTGACTTCTACTTACTTCTACAGTCAATCAGTAAATCAATCTCTCTACCTATGCATTAAATCCATTCGCCCAACGCCAATCTGAGTATAGGGTAAAAACCGAAGTCGAGGCCACTGTTTAACTTTCATATGTGATTTTAGAACACAGCTCCTGTGTGTGCGCGCGTGTGCGTGCGTGCTTTAACATTATGTAACAAAAAGTTCCGTCCCTAGAGTTTTTGGGGCTTGCCTTACTTTCAAGAAAAAAAGGTCAGTTGTTATTAAAGAAACTAATCTGAAAATATATGTTCGTCTTACCCCTTCAGCAGGACTAACGGGCACTGCCTGGGAACATTCAGCGCAGCATATTTAATTATGAGTGTTCCCCGTAAAACTTGCCACTCCATTAACGCCTCCCCTCCTTTCTCTCTCTCTATCGTTTTTCAAAACATAAAAGTTCATAATTTCTATCCTGAAGAAGTACAAATTAAAACATTGTTAACTGTCCACACGGCAACAAGGTTTACACTTCGTCTCCTGTAATAACCTGATAGGCTCTACAATCTCATACGCAATGCACAAGACCATCAACATATTCGACATCTTATTCTGCAATGTATTTTAACCAGAAAATATGTCATAATTAAAATAGATTCATCTAGCCTTAATAATGTGATTAGAACAAAACAAACCAAACAAACTCCGTGGTTTTAGTCCGCAAACGAACTATACCGAGCGACCGAAGCTTGTCTGCGAAGTTAATGCCAACTTTAGCGGGTAGAGAGTGTCGCGTGGTCAGCGCAACGGATCCCCACACAGTAAATTTCGTTTTCTAGAGCGGAGCCGCTATTTCCTTGAAATAGCTCCTCAATTATCCTCACGAGGCTGAGTGGACCCCATTCCAGACCAACTATTTCTTAGAAAATCTGGTAGCGCCGGGAATCGAACCCGGGCACATTGAATCCGTAGCCAGGAACTCTAAACATGTGTTTAGAAACACATATTTATTTATTTTGCAAATGAATGAAATTATATTTATTGAAATTATATTTACACGTAAAAAATTACCTTTAGGCGTTTTAAGTTTATCTAATTAAAGCTTAAAAATTCAGTTTCTAATCTATACAAAATACACTACTTTTTCATTAGAAAGACTAATCTCTTAATGCTGTTTAAGGAAATAATCACTGCTTAATCTGAGAACCATATAAAATACATAAATACACTGTATTAGTAAACTGCGGACACTGAATCGTTAAATTAGCCTGTACGTACCTTACTTTAAAGGTTACACAAAATATACTTGCATTTCTTGCTCCATCATTAGTTAAGTAACATGTTATGAAGTTATGGGGGATGTAATAGCAAAAAGTGCCTTATCATTCATAAAAGATACACGAGATTTAATCAGCTGGCTTTATAATATATTCACGAAAAGAGTCCTGTTATATTATGAAAAGGAACTACATTCCATCTCTGATGAACAAGGTTCTCTTTGACTCTATCCGTGTTCAAATAACATGGCTCAATACTAAATGTAACACGTTGCACATAAAAGTGTAAATAAATAACAGTAACAAGTATCGCGTCTACTGTATCTCAGGAATATCTGCCTTTCATATATGGATTTCAATATGCTGATACAAGTTCTTCCTCACACTGTTGTACGGGGGTTAGTCACATAGAGAAAAGCTTTACTTGAAAAATGTGATGTTCCAACCATCCTTTCAAATAATAACTGGTAGGCATTTAGACTATACGACTAACTCTACGCCACCCAATATATTACGAATACTTTCTGGATCGACTACCGTCTATAGGTGAATGACACCCATAAAAATTACCCTTTTCAATCATTTTAATTTCATACGGTACCCACACAACAAACATAACCGAATTAGCTTGCTGCAGCTTCATAATCTGTACTCTTCACCAAGTATTGTTAAGGTGACGAAATCAAGGAGGTAGAAACAGGATCCGGCAAGCATCACGCATGGTGGGCACCAAGTATTGTTAAGGTGACGAAATCAAGGAGGTAGAAACAGGATCCGGCAAGCATCACGCATGGGGGTAACCAAGTATTGTTAAGGTGACGAAATCAAGGAGGTAGAAATATGATCCGGCATGCATCACGCATTGGTGAAGTGAGAAATGCAAACAAAATTCTGATCGCAACAGCTGATGAGAAAAGATCACTTCGGAGACCTACGAGTAGATGTGCAGATAAGCAAGCAGTACTTCGGCTGGTCTATAGGATGCTGCAATGTGATTAGTCAGGTCAATAAAGCAACGTCACAATTACCTAACCACGAGCCAATACTGCATAAACAACATTAATTCCTTATGAAGAATGAAGGGGTGAAGACAGGTGACTAAGAGGGGAGAGCAAACTGGCCCGAGCTGCAACTGAGCAGGTCATCTTTTATTCTGTAACTATGCGAGAAACGCCTTATAAAATGTCAGCAATCAAACCACGAAACAGGCAGTAGCTCTGTGTGACGCCTAACAAATGTTTTCTAAACTGATAATGCTCTGACTCTGCTTTTATACAGAGCATTTCCGGAGCTATAGACTGAAACAGATTACGCATTTCAAAATTCTTTCATTGAATTGGATTAAATATCTAAATTACTAAAAAGATGATTTAAGTACACATTAGGCTATACCATATTAAGTTTCCATCAAGCAGCCGGTATTCATACGCCAGTGGGAAATTCAGACATTCTCAGAAAGAATTTTTATTTTGTAAGGTTGCCAACACAAGGCATGATGTCCCCTGATTCATACAGCATATGGACTTCATTAAAACAAACGTTAAAGGTATAGGATATGCAGCTGTAGACTGGATTCAGGTGGCTCAGGATATGAATCTTCGGGTTCTATAAAAGGTGTGGAATTCCTCTAATCAGATGAGAAACTGTTAGCTTCTTCATAAAACCAAATCACAATAATACAAACAGAGACGAAATTTACTTTATGAAGCGGGTTGCATAAGAGACAAGGAACATATCTGATATTACTTACCACAGGATTCCTCAGGTCCCAGACGAGCAGATCACTAGGGAGTGGTTCCTCCAGATTCACTCTCTCCATGAGGTACAAGCTGCGAAATCCTCTTTGAATTGGCCCATGATACGATAGAGGGCCGAGTTTTGATCCTGGTCGCGAAGCCGGGTCGTCAGTGTGGTAAGCGTACAGCATTCGCATTGTGTCGTTCTGAAGGGCAACAAAATTACGTACACATAAATAAAAGAAGAGAACCTGTGGGTGTGTGTTTTGAAGCTCTAACTCGGACACCAAGGAGAACCAACAGCCGAAGCTTCGTATACCTACTTAAGGAAACCTCAAGAAGTGCACCTCAGGCGTATTTTTTCTTTTCATCCCTTCTGTTTACAATTAAGGAATTTACATACATATATATAATATATAAAGACACCTGAAGATGACCATCTAGAGACGAAACATGTTGTGTTAAAGTGTAAGTGTAAGAAAAAGGAACAATTTGTTGCATTATTGACGTACTGTGTTACACATCTGTGCGTCCCGTGTCGTAGATTTACGGCACGTAAAAGATCCTCATGTCTCTAGGAGACCTCTGAGCAAAATTAGGTAACAATTTCCCGCCCAAGTAGTTTTCAATGCCTCGGGTAGATTGGAGAAATATCAGGTACCGACAGCCGACATCGTTGGCTAAACAGGGCTGATAGCACGCACCAGTACCGGTAGGGTACGGCGACAGTATAAATTAAACGGGGACGCACAATGGACCAATAACTGGTCTAAGTGCATGGGGAAACCCACCCCCTTTAATAATAATAATAATAATAATAATAATAATAATAATAACAACAATAATAATAATAATAATACTGTGTTATACATAGACGAATTAATTTACATACAAATTATATTTCTGTGATGAACCAAAGATGGCGACTGTAACGAGTATATGACCTTGGAAACGACACGTGTTTACACAATGTATTATAGGTTTTTTGGGGGTAAAAAATGCAAATTGTCCCCGCGCTTAATTTAGTGTTACATCATGGAAACGTAGGGGGGAATGGATGTAAAGATCCACGTATTCTTGACTTCGGCACTAGTTAAAGGTGAGTAATCAGCCCCGTTACCTAATGGATATGAGGTGGTGTGAGCCCCAGAACCGGTCTCAACGACGTGGAGGGGAAACAATTCTTACGTCTACCGGAAGTTGAACTCCGATCCCTTGGCCGTCCAGCCCGTAGCTGTCGGCAAGGGTAGGGGATTTTTTTTCTATTACCCCCAAACCAGCTGTGATACCCAGCCTACCCCCATGCTGCGATTATCATGGACATCCCCCACCCAAAGAGTAAAGCGGATGGAAGCGTGGAACTAAGCACTTTCCCACAAGGAGTATCAAGTTTAAGGATCCGTGGGACCGTGCCTCCGTTTCCCTATACCCGTTAGAAATGTGATGTTTAATTCACCATGGTGAAATTCTTATTTACATGGGCATTTGATTGAACACAATGACAGTTTCACTTTACTTACGAAATAATAAGCGGAGGAAATAGCGGCTCCGGTCTAGAAAAACGAAATTAACGGCAGTGGCGATTCGTTGCGCTGACCGCGCAACACCGTCTGTCCGCCAAAGTTTCGCCGACAAGCGGCGTTCGCTAGATCGGTATAATTCATTTGCAGACTACAGGCAAGCCGGACACACAAAGAAGAGCGTTGCATTATGGGCCTTATCCTAATAAGACATTACAATATACTTAATTTTTCAATGTAAGATCTCGGAATATTTATGATCATGAGGATTGGAGGGCTTACTTAAAAAAAGGAAAAAATATCTAGCATCTTCTCTGAACATCCATTTATGTTTGTATAACGAGGTACGCAAAAGAATGACATGAATTTTGTACAGTTTTATATGGAGCGTCCATTTCAATATCAAGAAAAGTATATATAATTATATTATAAGGCCGAAATATTATTAATTGCAGACGAAAGGCCATTTACTTTATACGAACGATATTCTCTCCAGTTGTGAATCAATCCAAAATATTTTTGATCTCAATTTTTAACGTATAGTTTACAAACTGTTTGATGTTCAACATTTTAGTTCATAAATTGAAATGCAGCAGACATTACAAAACAGAGAGGTGGCATGGGATTCTCACAGGTCTAGTCTAGGAGACTTAAAAATCCTGAAATCACAGAAGCAGACTGTACTTAGTTGAGTGGTTTCTGGCTGAAGCTTTGAAAAGCTGATGATAATTATTGTTGTATAAAAAAAATTTCCGCCAAAGTAATTAGCATTTTATTGCCAATTACTTCTACTTTAAGTGTTTCTCTGTCTTTAACAAGATCTCCTTAAATGTTTTTACTGCTCCGAAACAACGTTCTTCCATTCACTGAAATATACTTTTATTTCCGTAAAAAAGAAATGTTTACTTAATCTGCGCTTGGCAAGGGATTTTACAACCCCGAGGAGAACCATATGGAAGAGAATATACGCGATTGCTTTGAAACTGTCCCATATTACGCAAGCCTTTGTATTTCGAATGCTGCTGCTCTGTGGTTACACTTCAGTTCCTTCTCCTTGCGCTATAGAAGCTGTGTGTCCCTATGTCGATTCTGGGCTTGAGCACAAAGTACTGGATTAGGTGATTATGGGCTGCAGGGGTGTAATTTTCTGTCCATGTTGTTTCCAGTTTTCGATATTTGTATTGGGCGGATGTGACCAGTGCTGTCGACGTTTCGGAGGTACATGGTCCCTCTAAATGAGTAGGGTTAACGGGTGTCCATGTATGTATACATTTTGGTCTAACAGAGTCAAGGGGCAAGAATGTGAGCTCGTATCCTGTTATGTGCATATGAAAAGAGTGAACAGGGTAATCTCAACAATACATATGTCTCCGGCTGCGGTATCTTGGACACAGAAATAAAGTCTTTCAAACTAAACGACACTCTGGTTCATTATATGAAGTACCTGAAGAAGAATATGCGACAAATATGATACAAATTATTATTTATTTTCCTAGGCCGCGCCATAGTTCAAGCGGTTAGTCGCTGGCTTCCCACCACGGCGGCCCGGGTTCGATCCCGGGTCTGGTCAAGTGGGATTTGTGGTGGACAAAGTGGCGCTGCGGCAGGTTTTTCCCGAGTACTTCGGTTTCCCCTGCCAATCTTCATTCCACCAATTGCTCCACAATCACACTCACCTATCATCTGGGGCTGGTGCATTAGGCCAGAAGTGGGCGCAGTACAAGGGACTTAGTCCCACCCCACTAGCAATAAAAAAAAATACTGTCCCATACAGCACTAACCGACTCTTTCTAACGGAAACGAAGTGACTTATCTGTTACGTAGGAACTGAACTTGTAACCTTTGTTTGGGTCCAGTTCAGACTTCAAAGTGACAGGCGATTCAATTGCAGATGTCATTAGTTAACAAAGTTAGCAATTACACTGTGTCAAAAGGAACAAGGCTATCAAAATACATATGGATAGCTAATCCTTTGTTCGCCCGACTGCATAACATGACTATCGAAAGTCTCTGAAATAACCAAGCAAAAGGTGTCGTATATCGGTACGTTCAAAGTTCTGTTCTGTATTCGGAAGTCTCTGGCGTCGTGTACATTAATCAGCTATTTGTCCCGGGAGACATCTCTATTGGCTTACAGCCATGAAACTGCCATGGGCAAATGAGCCATCGGCAATGCAAATGGATGCCAGAAGAGAAGCCTTGACTCCTGTTGTTACGTTCGATGGATCCAAGTACACAAAATGGGGAAAATGTATATTTTCACGGCGGTGACTATGAAGAATGCCGTCTTCTGGGATGTGGCACCGTGTAGATATTACCTCCTGCTCACGCTGGTTCCTCGATTGAGGATTTTTATACCATGAAGGTGGAGGTGATACGTTCCTCCGAAACGTCGGTTCACAAAAGATCTAGACGGCGCCACATCCCAGAAGACGGCATTCTTCAAAATCATTAGAAGATCACTCAGATCTCGACACGTAAGTAGAGCGGCCAAATGGACACTGTACCTGCTCCTAATGTACCAACAGTGAGACCGGGTTTCTATATCTATTTAGGGTCCTCATCACATAATCTGCACAGTTGGCTTGTACGTACCGAGGAGTAACAGTGTCCTGTAAAGCGGGATACAAAACAAAATACACAATCCTTAGTTTTGTGCACTGCAAATGCAGTGTTCGTGAACTGTAAGAATCACGAATTAATGGCACGAAGGGTTATGCCAATATCAACCGGAAAAGGAGTTGCAGAAAGGTGTCGGATATATTAAATTCTCACAGGCAAATTTGCCTTATTTAGTAACTCCTTTCTTGCAAAATATTGCCATGTAAGTTCATGTAGTGTGACTATAGACGGGTTATGGGTTATGTCCGGATTTACTGGACTCTTTGTTACATCGTGTAACTGCACTTTACAGTTTACTATTACACAAACATACACAATACTGTCCGCAGTCACGTCTTATAACTCAATCAAAACGAAGACAGCACACACACACACACACACACACACATACCCAGCAGGCCCAGCAGTATAACACACGCAGTCACAGGAGTAAGACACAACACAAAGCACAATACACACACGAAAGTAGGAAGAATACTCCGATAGAAGAAGATAGATGTGACTCGCGTATTGAGATACGACATAAGGATGACAAATCCTGAACAGTTTTAATATTTTAATATTTAAAATTTATCAATATATATGACGAATATATATTTTAGTTATTTTAGTATGAAGACAGCAGGGCATGCAATGAAGTAGTTTGACGTACATCGAAAAGCACCTGAAGATGGCACTTTAAACATGCTGAAACATGTAGTGCGGGAGAGAGGAGTGAGGTGAATAAATGTATGCACTGTAAGACGGTTAGAGTAAATCATGGACATGAATCAGTGCAACGGGAGGCTAAAATATAACATTATTAAAAGTTGGATCAGGTTTAACCCCAGAACAGCAATCTCTAGTTGCAATACGCTTGCTTCTATGATTGTACTAATGGCAACCCTGTTTCCACATCTTTCATCCCACTTTTGTCCCAGTTAGGTTTAAAGGAAGGAAATGGTATCCAGTGGGTCACGGATGTGTGGACCCTGGACGTGGCCCAACTCAGTGGGTTCCTCTGCAGTCACTTCACAGTCTGCACACGGAAGAACGCTTTGTTCCCAGAAAGCTTGCACACACCAGGACTTCTAATATCCGATTACGGTTAACGTCATTGCAATCTTAGCTCCAAGACTTAAGGCAGAAAGTTAATTTGTGTTAGTTATAAGCTTCGTTCATATAAAAGAACATACGTTATGATGGGTGCTCATACCTAGGGAAAACAATTTAATAACCTCACTTTGTACTTTATTTGAAGATGGTTTCCTTCTATTGTCTAGTAACTTCCGAGAAATTTGAAAGAGATGTCGGTAGCGTGTAGTGAGTGAAGAAAAGTGAAACGTTAGTCAAAGCATTATGCCCAGATCGGGGTCGAAGCAGAAGCTTTTACAAAGAGAGACAAGTGACAGCCACATATGGCAGTGATTTGTACGTTCAGAATAGTTTCGTGGCTAAGTAAATAGTTTATACTCCGTTAGGATAGTGTGGGCTATGATGGTATCGAACAAGCCGTCACCAGGACGTGACGTTGACGTGCTACTCCATAAGGCACTAAACATGGCGTGCTGTTCCACAAAATTTAATTTTGAATGACTTTTGCAACATGAACCTGACAACATGGTTATGTTTGAAACGAGGATGTGCTGAAAGTTTCACTCTACATGAAGTGACATCTCTGTACGGGATTTCCCCTTTTTCGTTCTCTCCCGCCATTAAATTTCCAGGAATATGCCGTTGCTTCATGTAACACATGATCTGGCTCCCGCCCACTGAGGATCTATGCTGTTTGCATGAGAGGAGCGGGTGGAGGACACTGCAGCCGGAACACGTCAAGAAACGGTGAACACGGTTCCAATTGACGACATGATTAGTGATTAGCCGGTCCGGAGTGAGGTAAAAAGAAAAAAAAAACTGTAGGAAATATGAATATGAAATTCAAACAAACACAAAAATAATGTAATTACACGAAATACGTGCTGGCAACGTTGCGTAATATGACGGAATATGAGAGCACAAATTCTTTCCGATTTTCAGCATTCATTCCCACGCATTTCAAATCATCGAATGCCTTTAATATATTATTCAGTCGATAAATCTCTATCCAAATATTTCCCTATGCAAATTCATTTTAGATTTTCATACAGCGGGATGAACCTGAGAAGTACATAGCTCTTATCTCCTGCATTTCTTCGTATTTCTTTCACAAGTAATGTATTCTGATCATTAGTAGCAAAGTTGATGAAACGGTCCCTTCTCAGCGATGCCATGTTTTTTAATGCAACAGGGCTCTAATTTCTTAGTATTTTTTATTGCTAGTGGGGTGGGACTATGTCAGAATATTAAAAAAATATAAGCCTATAACCTATTAACATGTGCTTCGAAGTCGTACTGTCATAGTTAAGAAATAAAAACAAACCTCACTTACACGGAGCCTCAAATTAAACTAGAATTTCCATTTTCCTAACTTGGTAATAGCTAAAAATTTAAAGCGTTTTTTTTTTGTAGAACGATCTATTATGGTCGGGAATAAAAAAATGGCCGCCAGATCAATTATATTATAATGAAATATAAGTTTATTTACGTGAAGGGCTATGTATTTAGTTGTGAGTAAGCTTCGTTTAACTGTTAATGAGAGAAAGAACCTTTGCTAATCTTCACGTGTATTCGAAAGACCTCTGTTCAGCATAAAATACACGAGTATTATTATTATTATTATTGAGAGGGTCGGTTTCCCATGCACTTAGACCAGTTATTGGTCCACTGTACGTCCCCCTTTAATTTCTACTGTATCAGCCCTTTTCAGCCAACGAGGTCGGCCCTCGGTACCTGATATTTCCCCCATCTACCAGAGGCATTAGAAACTACTTGGGCGGGAAATTGTTGCCTAATTTTGCTCAGAGGTCCCCTAGAGACATGAGGATCTTTTACGTGCCGTAAATCTATGACACGGGACCCACGGCTTAAAGTCCCTCCCGGAGGACTTGTTCCCTGTATTTTTCCGCCCTTAAAAATTCCACGAGTCATGAGGTGGGAACGTTACCCCTAGACTACGGAGGCCGCTAAATACACGAGTAGCTACACGTTAGGAAATGCACTCACGGTATCATTTTTTGTTAAATTTATTCCAGAACCAAAAGACTTACTGAAACTTTTATTGCACATAAAGCACGTTCTTTGATTTTCTTCACAAGTATGCGCTCGAAATATTTTCACAGCTATAAATGTTTAGCTAATTACGTTCGAGAAACTGGCAGATGCAAGAGTAGGTCTTCATGCAAAGTGTGCCTTACTCTTAACCGAAAAAAAACTCCGTAGCCTGTAGCCCACAAGAGAACTATACCAATTGAGCGACCGCCGTTTATCGGCGAAGTTAGTGCCAACTTTGGCGGATAGAGTGTGTCGCGTCAGCGCAACGGATCCCCGCTTCCGTTAATCTCTGTTTTCTAGACCGGAGCCGCTATTTCCTTGAAATAGCTCCTCAGTTATCCTTGCGAGGTTGAGTGCACCCCGTTCCAGACCCACGATTTCTCAGAAAAATCTGGTAAAGCCGGGAATCGAACCTGGACCTCTGGATCTATAGCCAGGAACTTTGACCACTAGACCACAGAGGCGGTCACTCTTAAACCGATTCAATCAAAATTAGAGTGTGTCTGCAGATTTCATTAGATATCACCAATAGCTTATTTAATGAAAATTCATGAAAAAAGAATTATGGACGGACTGGATGAACTTAACAGATGCTTCGCAGGATTGTGAACGCACTTAAAAGCAAAGGGGAGAATCGTGAAAATTTGTTTCTGTGCCTTGAAAACACCGGTTGTTCCTCATATACAGTGAGAGTGGCTTCATTAAACAAGAACTGTTATTATCTGTACGTATTTTCTCCAGTCTCTTCTGAATGGTATCTTAATGAACCATCAGCGTAACTTCAAAATTGTGTAAGGTCATTTAAGTTTTCTATGGCGACTTTAATGGACTTTAAAAATATTTTGTATTCATATTTTGAACACTAAAACCTATCTACACGAAACTGAGCTGTGTAACGCCAGGGCAATAACTTCAAACTGGCTGACTGTTATTAGCACTTCACACCACAAAATCTGCCTGACCACAATATCACACCTCTCCTTTTATGGAGGCCTCAGTTTTCAGAATAACTGCCAGATTTTGTAGAAATGTGAAACGTGTTTCAGGCTTTCGTTTTTACAGACTTCATAAAGTAAATCTTTCCTCAGAACAGAAAATCTTTTCACATCCTGAAACAATTAGGTTGAAATTATCTCATAAACTCAGCATCTTAATATTCTTTCTTGTTCTTTCTGAATGAAGGTTAAGACATAAACGTTTATACGCAAGTACGGTGCCGGGATAGCTCAGGCGGTATAGTGACGGGTCCTCTCCACAGCGTCCGGGCCGACTGTGGCCCAGCCAGTCTCCTACGAAATGGGTACCGCCGGTTCTTTCCCTGGGATTAAAGAGGCCGGGGCGTCCTCCAACCAGGACTGAGGTCAAGAATGGTGGAGCCGTACCTCTACTCCCTCTAAACTCCGTGGCCTATAGTCCGCAAGCGAACTATACCGACTGAGCGACCGCCGATTGTCGGCGAAGTTAGTTCCAACTTTAGCGGATAGATGGTGTCGCGCGGTCAGCGCAACGGATCCCCACAGCCGTTGAGCTCGGTTTTCTAGACCGGAGCCGCTATTTCCTTCAAATAGCTCCACAATTATCCTCACGAAGCTCAGTGGGTCCCGTTCCACTACTTCTCATAAATCTGGTAGCGCCGGGAATCTAACCCGGACCTCTGGATCTGTAGCCAGGAACTCTGTCAAGTAGACCACAGAGGAGGTCCTTCTACTCCCTCCCGTAATGCTTAATTAAGCACGGGGACGACTTTACCTTTCATTCTATTTCGTTAAGGAAAGAAAATAGTCGCAAAGAGATGACCATATCAGCCGATAAACTGTAAGAGAGACACTGTTATATGATGTCGCATTTCTGTGCGGGTGCGCGCGCAGGCAGAGGAGTCGGACGGTCATCTCTTCAAGTGGGGCTGCCTCAGAGTGCATTGTAATTTCGTTTTGCGATTGCACCTTCCAAAAAACTCACCGTAGCGGAGAATCACAGAACATTCTTCGACATGAACACTGAACTACACAACGACACTTCCAAACGAGACTAACGGCCGTGGGGAACCGTTGCGCTGAACACGTGACACCCTCTATCCGCAAAAGCTGGCATCAACTTCGCCGACAAGCGGCGGTCGCTCGGTCGGTAAATGGAAGTAAAATATTGTAAACAACCTTACAGAGATAGGGCGGGAGGCGGATATTGGAGGTCTCTTATAAACGCTCAAGATGCCTCAGAATTTTATGCAGCTGTCAATGTCGTGGCCAGCTGAGCGACTGTCAGGGACTTACCGTGATCCTGAAATCGTGCGGATCGCAAGTGTCGTACCGTCTCCGGAACCTGATGACCGTGTGGGTCCCGTTCTCATACCCCAGCAGCAGCTCGTAGTCTTGGCTCGAGTCCACGTCTGGCTCGGTCCTCTCCAGGGCGTACCGATCCTGTAACCAGACACAACACAAATTCATACTGCAGTCTTCTGGTTTACGTCGTGTAGTATACATTTCGGGGTTACATACTGCCTCTATCTTCAGGATAAAATAGACAATTCCACGGACTTAGTTGATTAGTTAGGCATACACCAGTCGTGATATGATCTGTTTATGAATACGTCCATCACAGCTCGTAAGTATAACAAACAAAAAAATACTCTGTGGTTTTAGTTCGCTTGCGACTATACCGACCGAGCGAGCGCCGCCTGTCGGTGAAGTTAGTGCCAACTTCAGAGGATAGAGGGTGTCGCGTGGTCAGCGCAACGAATCCTCACGGCGGTTAATTTCGGTTCTCTAGATCGAAACCGCGATTTCCTTGAAATAGCTCCTCAATTATCCTCACGAGGCTGAGTGTACCCCGTTTAAGACCCACTACTTCTCAGAAAATCTTGTGGCGCCGAGAATCGAACCCGGGACCTCTGACCACTAGACCACAGAGACGGTCTCGTAAGCAACAGTATGTTTGTCCCCTAATTTCTACATGGTGGGTCACGGTAACTGAGCGGTCTAGGGCATGTACTTACTTCGCTCGCTCGGAAGCCGTGATCGTGAGTTCGAATCCGACACAAAGCATGTATGTTTGGTGTGTGAATGCGTTTATTTTGTTTGTGTTGCCCTGTGTTTAGGTAGAGGTTTTGCGACGAGGTGATCAACCAGCCAAGGAGTCCTACGGTCTGTAAAATGATCATGAAACTGAGAAATGAGCTCTATAGTGCAAAGTGTGTGCAAGAGGAGAAAGAAAAAAAGTCTATATGTAGATATATTTAATAAAGTCAAAGAGAACCTTCCTCTCCTGTTATTAGGCTGCAAAGCTTATTTCTGCACGCCAACCTACCTTTCCCTTTGTCCCACTTTAATTTGTTCTCATTTTTAGGGAATTTTACTTCCTTATTATTCCAGCACTGTCTCCTCTTTGTGCCAAGTAACGAATACTACACAGGAGTCCATATTAAAACTCGAAGAGCACTCATAATGTGACGCCATTTTACAAATTTAAATGAAACACGTAAATGTTTCTTATGATCTGTCGTAAGAAAGAACTAAACGGAGCAGACTCATTCTGAAGTTGCTAATCGTGAGGCCAGTAAACCTGTCATGGAGTCCGAAGCCTCACTGCCGTGTTTACGAGTTCCCATCATATCCTGAGCCAGATGAATCCAGCCCGCACCTTCATATCAAATTTCTCTAACACCCATTTGAATATTCTTCTTCTATTCATGCCTACATCCCCCAACTGATCATCTGTCTTCAGGTTTTACTACTGATAATTTTATGCACTTCTGATAGCTCTCATGCGTTCTACATGATACTCCCATCTCATACACCTTGATTTGCTCATCCTGCTCACCTCATTTGGTGAAGGACGCAGGTCATGAAGTTTTCAATATGCATTCCTTTTCTTGAATTTATGTGACAGATTGCGAAAATATGTTTCTTTCATTCGGCAACGGCTTTACAGCCCTTTATTGGGCTCTGGCCTCTTCTGTTTCGTAATCTTTGCGAGAATATTGTGACGTATTGCGCTATGCAAGACACCCCCTCCCCAGCCAGCGGTGACGTAACAACATCGGAGCGCTGTCGCTGCTACGGTAACAGGCCAGTCAACACTCCGCCCCCTCCCCCGCGGTGACGTAGCAGCACTTCCCACTGTGAAGTAACACGAGAAACTTCTAACCATTAACTTCATTCTCTTTCTGGGGAGTCTGGAAAACACCACCATTAGTCGAGTTCGGTAGCCAGACACTTGGGCCCTGCTTGCGGAGAGCTAGTGTTCCTCCGAACTCTGGTAGGAAGTGTAGGCGAAGCGCTGTTCTAGACATCAGTAACCACTTACCACACTACACGCTGGCATATCTCTGGTGTTTTCAGGCTACAAAAATATTCCGTTCCCTCTTCAGGTATCCGTGGCGAACTCGCTTTACTTTCGCAGTCAGTTAAATTTCATTTGATAAACCTTCTAATTATGTTCAACGACAGCGTACACCAAAGACACTTAATGCAATTTCTTTTTCAATAGTTCTTCCAGCCCATTCAGGGCCCTAGCCTCTTATTCAGTTCCGTAATCATTTTTTTCACAGACGGTAGGACTCATTGGACGAGTGATCAGCCCGTCGTAAGGCCGCTACCTAAACGCAGGACAACACAAACAGAATAAACACATACATAGACATCCATGCCTTGAGTCGGATTCGAACCCACGATTCCAGGGTGTGAGGGAGCGAGAACAGTTCATGCCTTCGATCGTGCGGCTTCTGTGACCGGCACATTTTTTTTTAATTCGCATAGTGGGAGGGGGGTGGAGTCCAGCTGGGTCCACTCGGCACGTCGGCCACTGATTGGTCTATTGTACCTGCCCCGGGTGATTATGATTATGGAGAATCTGGTGGAATGAAGATTGGCAGGGGAAACCGAAGTACTCGGAGAAAAACTACCCCAGCGCCACTTCATCCTCCACAAATCTCACTTGACCAGACCTGGGCTCAAACCCGGACCGCCGCGGTGGGAAGCCAGCGACTAACCGCTTGAGCTATGGCGTGACTGACCAACACACTTCATGCAATACTGTGTAATAATATCAGATTACTATCAATCTATTAAACAAAATATATAAAAGGACAGTGGGAAGCAAGTGTTGTGATTTCACTTGCCATGTGATTTGCTTATAATATTTTAGAAGCAAATTACACTATATCGAAATTTTACAGGAATAAAACGAAAAACTCCTTTTTACATTTACAACAGTGTGGTACTGGCAATGTAATTCAAGTGTCTGACAACAGCCACAGAGCGAATTATAGTCAAGTACCGCAAAACAAACACACAGTAAAACAAAACAAAAATTGAACACAATAAACAGGAAAGAAATACAGATTTAAATAACAACACACTAGAAACTAAATGAAATAAAAGCATTAATACATAAAAATAACAGCAATAAAGGTCAGTCATTTTTACGATACTGAGAAAATAACGGGGTCCACTGGAGAGCTGTTGTGAAAATATAAATTAATCTTTGGGTTCCATAAACCGAGGACAACTTCCAGAGTAGCTCAGCGACTCCTGCTTTCTAGAGCGTGCTACAGTTAATGCTTTGAAGCGCGAAATTCACGCGGATAATATTTGAAAACTGCGTTCGTACCTCACAGGAAACATACTACACCACTCTGTTATTCGCCATTTAGTCTAAGTTAGACAGACATATATACTCTGGGAATGCTGGAAAAGTTGTAAAAGTTAAAGCATGTGATATGCTATTGCCTCTATATCTATGTACTATGGCTCTACAGCCCTTGTGGACCTTGGCGGCTTTTTCGCTTTCTTTGATCTATACATTGTCGACAGGACTCCTTGGACAAGGGATCAGCCCGTCGCAAGGCCGCTATCTACATACAGAACAACATAAACAGAATAGACACACACATACAGACATCCATTCCTTGAGTGGGTTCAAACCCCAATCCCAGTATTCGAGCTGGCGAAGACGGTTCATGCCTTAGTCCGCGCGGCCACTGTGATAGGCTTGCCTGCACATAACAACACAAACAATAGTAGGACGGACAGAACAAGGTGCCTACAATTATGTAAGGGAATTAAAAGGCAAATTGAGCAAAGATGTGAAACTGCAATTGCATTACGAATTAGATACGTTAAGAATAGGCTGTATAAGTACTGTACTGCATAATGAGGAGCTTCATAACTTGTACTCTTCTCCAAGTATAATTAGAATGATCACGTCAAGGAGGATGAGGTGGGCAGGGCATGTAGCACGAATAGGGGAGAAAAGGAATGCATATAGGATAATGGTGGGAAAGCCAGAAGGAAAGAGACCACTGGGAAGACCAAGGCATAGGTGGGTGGACAATATTAAAATGGAGGGCTCTTGTGAACATAGTAATGAACCTTCGGGTTCCATAAAATGCTGGGAAATTCTTGAGTACCTGCAGAATTGGTGGCTCCTCAAGAAAGGCTCAGTTCCGTAAGTAAGTAAGTAAGTATATGTAATGTAATTGCGATGAGAAAGCGGAACGGCTTAGAACTGGACTACCGCAGTCAAGGAACGCGGCCCCTGTGAACCAAGAACTAAAATAACCTGATCAATAATTGATTCATGTTTAGCCTTATTGAAAACTTCACACAGCCGTCCCTATCGCACCACCGTAATATTTTATTATGCTCCAGTATTCTTAGAGCATCTCAGCAGGAGGGTCAGCCTGTCTTGCTTATGTCCACATACCAAACAGGGAGTGTCCAGGCACACCCTTACTCAGTTCAGGGTCTAATTACAATACAGGAACTCCAAGAGACGTGGACACAGAAGCTCAGATCAAGGTCATGTTTATGAAGAAGAATATTAAGTTTAAGAACTTGTTCTTATATATTTAAAAGCTTAAAATCGACTTCTTGTCTGGGATATCAAAAACATTAATTCCATAGACATGCATAATGTATTAGGGACAGGCACAAGAGTTTTGTAGTCGATACAAAATAAAACTACCGCACGACGAAAGATTGGGATAACCGATAGATTAATTTCCATCTGTAAGTAATTACACTGACCGTTATTTAAACCCTTTAAACCAGGCGGACAATTTCTGTTAATAGTCTGGATTACTCTCTCCACACACACAGACCGCTAATGGCGCTGAGAGGATGTCATTAACCTCATGGTGCGTTAAATCCTTGAAGTTAAGAGGAACAGGTGAAATCATGAGAGATAACAAAGACTAAAAGAGGCTACTTGAGTCTAACAAACACGTGACTGCAATACCTCAATTCGAATGTAGTGCTGAGCACAAGAATGTTGACAATTCTACAGTACAATGACCGCAACTGACCTCAGGGTAATCATATCATATTGAGAAGCAAACATTCACACAGCTGGTCATAAAATTTCCTTACCCTTTATGGAACCCGAAAGTTCATCACTGTATTTACAAAAGACCGCTACT